GGCCCCGGCGCCTGCAGCCGCAGCATCAACTCGCGGCGCTCGTTACGACCCAGGCTCAGCTCCGCCGTGCGCAGGGCCTGGCGCCTTCGCGGCTGTCCGCCCGGGCTCAGCTCCTCCACAGCCACGCGGCACCGCAGCTCCGCGTCCTCGCATTCCGCTGCCGCCGCCTCCGTGCCCGAGAGCATCGTCACCGCCCCTGCAGGTCTGCGAAGAGGCCCGGAGCACAGGGGTCACGCGGATTCAGGGGACATAATGGGTAGTATAGAGGCCGTGATGGGGAGCCCGGAGGCTGTCACTGGTAACGCAAGGAGGTCACAGAGACGGTTAAAAAAAAAAAAAAAAAAAAAAGCCCTGGGCTAGCCGAAAATCCACTCTTGGAAATGTACTCTGCTTCACAACCGTTTCCCGAGCAGCGGCTGGGCAGTGTCAAATGCACGCAGGATTGGGGGCTTCCGTTGTCCTGCAAGGATCGTATTAGAAAGGGGTCCCTGCGCTGAAAAGAAGCCTGCTTCCAAGAGACCCAGGGCCAGTGCGGGAATCCTTAGGGTCCTCTCCCCAGGAAGCAGGGTAATCGCACGTGGGGAGATGGGAAGGGGACTGCCTTCCAAGTACGTTCACTGGCTTCTATGTAGCCTGGCAGGTGTTAATATTCCCCGTGCACAGAAGTAGAAACAGGCTGGAAGAGGCAAATTAACTTGCCCCTCATAAGCCACAACGACTAGTGAGAGTCGGGGTCAGCGTGACTCCGATGCCCTGGCGCCCCCAAGGTGGGGACGGGGAGGAGAATATTTGGCTAGGGAAATCGCCGTGGACCCTGGGGCTCGGGAATCCGTGCTCCCTCCGTCTGACCCACTCATCTGCACCCTCCCGGCGGGGACCCCTAGAAGAGTCAGGCTCTCTGCCTCCCACTTCGGGGCTCGGGCAGACACTCACTTGTGCCGGCACTTGGGTGAACAGGCCGATTACAGCCAGCCTGCTGGCTGAGCTCTGAAACAAGGAGATTTCAAATAGTGGGATAGAAAATTACCCTATCACCGGCCAGAGCTTTAAATTCCCCAGCCAGTCAGAGGAAGGGGCGTGGCAACGGGCGTGTCTTTCGTTGGGTTCCAACTCCTGGAGCTTGGGCTGTACCAATTGCACACCAGAGAAAGGAGGTTTATAGGTCGAGCACACCAAGTCCGATGGCCTAGTGGGCGTGGTGGGAGGAGGCAGGGGTTTCGGCTGGGCGGCGCTTGGTGTAATGTCACCCAATCCGGCTCTAAAAATTTATTTTCGGAGCCGTCCTTCCAACGCACTCCCTTTTTCCTTTAGCCTGCACACAGCAGCTGGCCTTGGCCTTGGGGAAGAGCTGCCTCTGGTCCTTCACCCTCCTGTTTCCACCCACGGTACCATTGTCCACTACTGGGCAGACCACCCAAACCTGCCTAATCTGCTGCCCCGTCCCCCAACTATTACCACCCTCTCTGCCTTTGTAAGGGTCATTTTACACATTTGTTTTTCCCACCCGGTTGAGGCCTGTGAGTGAGGAACCAGTGCCAGGTGCCTAGAGAGTACAAGGGAAGCGTATGACTACCTGTCTTCAAGGAATTCTTATCCCTCTTGTTGCACTGGATGCTCAGAGAATTTATTTTTTGTTTTGGAGTCTGGTCAGTACTAGAATTTATTTTTAATTATGTTTTTTCGGTCATTGATGGTTGGAATTACATAGCTGGAAGGGATCTTACAGGTGAGTCCCCCTACCTCATTTTACAGATACATCATGAATTAAATTGCCTTCATATTTCTTTTTCGGTGGCTAGCTGTATGGGGATCCAAAACCTTGACCTTAATGTTAGAAGGCTGCACTCAAACCAACTGAGCTAATCAGTCAGCTCAACCCTCATTTTTCAAATGAGGAAAAATCAAGACTCCAAGAAGCTTTACCAAATGTCACATAGCTTATACGAGGGTACCTCAAAAGTTCACAGAAAGATTCATATCTATTTTTCCATGAACCTTTTGAAGTACCGTCACAGATAACAAAACCAATCTTTGAACCCAGGTTGCCTGTTTGCTTAACTTCATCTCCTTAACTACTACATTGCACTTCTCCCAGGTGACTGGCCTAACTTCATGAAGGTAGTCAAGGCAGAACCCAGAACGGTATGTCACCTCCTGACAGCTACTGGAATGCCCCGGCCCTGCCAGTTAGATGCTACTCTAAGCAAGTTTCCTTAGTGTGTCAAGCCCTTGTTCCCTCACACGTAAAAATGGGAGCAAGATGAAAATATTCTAAAATTGATTGTGGTGATAGTTGCACAACTCTGTGACTGTACTAAAAATCATTGAATTTTTTGCTTTGAATGGTTAAATTGTATGTATGTGAATTCTATTTCAAAAAACATTTTTAAAGAAATCACAAGAAATATTTTTCCTCTTTGTGCTGTTTTGACATGAGTAGCAGTGGCATAGGTCATTATGTATGAGTAGGATAAGGGAAAATTTCAAGGTCACCATGGGAGGCAGAATAATGACCCCCCCAAAATGTCCATGTCTTAGAATTTTTTTTTTTTTTGTCTTTTTGTCTTTTTTCGTGACCGGCAACGGATCGCAACCCTCAGTGTCGCGCCCGTACCAGACCGGGACCGGCAACGGGATCGCAACTCTCGGTGTTGCCCCCGCTCCACGCTCAGCCAGTGAGCGGCTGGTCTGTATGTGGGATCCGAACCCTCGGCGGGAGCGCTGCCGCGCTTCTCAAGCGGTGCACTGTAGCAGCGCGCCACCGGGCCGGCCCAGAATTTTTTTTTTTTTTTAATTTTTTATTTATTGTTAGCATATTCATTCTTATAAATCGTGATATTTCTTTATGCCCTTTGCTCAACCTTTCACTTCCCAAAAGCCCTCTTTTCCTCCCCACTGTCTCTAGTATCCTTAGGTTTGTTTTCTCCTTCTGAAAGTTTAATGTATTGTTGTGGTCTTTTCTTTCTTTCCTTCATTCCTTTCTTGGAAATTTGTTTTTAAGGAGTGTTGAGGTATAACTGTCTAAATAAATAAATAAAGATGACCAGTAAGGGGATCTTAACCCTTGACTTGGTGTTATCAGCACCACACTCTCCCGAGTGAGCCACGGGCTGGCCCGAATGTCCTAGAATTTATGAGTGTTATTTTACATTGCCAAAAGGGTCTTTGCAGACATGATTAAATTAAGGATGGGGGGCAGTAGCTGGCTGGTACGGGGATCAAAACTTGATGTTATCAGCACCATACTAACCAACTGAGCTAACCGGCCAGCCCTAAATTAAGGATTTTTGAGACGGGGAGATTATCAGGGTTATCTGGGGGGGTCTGATGTAAGCATGAGGGTCCTTATATGAGAATGAGGGAGACAAGAGAGTCAGAGAAGATGTGGCAAAGGAAGCAGAGTTTAGAGAGACATACAGATAGGTGTGAACATTACAGCTGGCTTTGAAGATGAGGAAGAGGCCACAAGCCAAGCCAACCAATGCAGGAGGCCTCTACAAACTGGAAAAGGCAAGGAAAAGGATTATCCCCTAGAATCACCAAAAGGAACATATTTAGTTATGAATAAATTTGTGTCATTTTAAGCCGCTATATCTGTAGTAATTTTTTACAGCAGCAATAGTAATAAGAAACAAATAGTCACATAGTTAGAAATGAAAGAGCTGGGATTATGAACCCAGGTCTGTTTCCAAAGCCTGTGTTCTCTCTTCTCACTGCTATCTGCTCCAAATGGGCCTAGAACACCTACAAACAGCCAGCTCCCTTCCCCCATCTCTCTGTGCAGTACCCCAGACTGCTTCTAGGGAAGGCACAGGGACTTCCAAAATGGATTTTCCCCAACTTTGTTTTTCTTTTGGCTTTCAAACATTTTTTCTAATTGTGGCAAAATACATTACATAAAATGTACCATTTTAACTATTTTAAGTGTGCAATTCATGGCAAGTACATTCAAAATGTATAACCATCACCAAAACCTAGTTTCAGAAAATTTTCACCTCACATAGAAACTCTGTACCCATTTAGATAGTAATTCACCATTTCTCCCTCCTCTCAGACCATGGTACCCCCAACATTTTATTATGAAAATATTCAAGCATATACAGAAAGGTTGAAAGAATTTTACAGGGCCAGCCTGTGGCTCACTCGGGAGAGTGTGTTGCTGATAACACCAAGGCCACAGGTTCAGATCCCATATAGGGATGGCTGGTTTGCTCACTGGGTGAGCGTGGTGCTGACAACACCGAGTCAAGGGTTAAGATCCCCTTACTGGTCATCTTTTTAAAAAAAATTAAAGAATTTTACAGTGAACACACATATACTTACCATGATTCTAGGATTAATATTCTGCTGTATTTATTTTACCATGTCTATATATCTATTCATTCCTTCACCCATCATCTTTTTGTAGCACTTATAAATGGAGTTATACAGTATGTATTCTTTTAAACAAGGCTTCTTTCATTCACCATGATTTTTTTTTTTTTTTTTTTTTTTTTTTTTTTTTTTTTTTGTCTTTTTCATAACCGGTGAGGGGATCGCAACGCTTGGCTTGGTGTCTCCCACACAACGCTCAGCCAGTGAGTGCACCGGCCATTCCTATATAGGATCCGAACCCGCGTCAGGAGAATCGCTGCGCTCCCAGCGCTGCACTCTCCCGAGTGCGCCACGGGGTCAGCCCGACTTCACCATGATTTTGAGATTCATCCATGTTGCTCTGTGTCTCAGTAGTGGGTTCCTTTTTATCATTGACTACTATTCCATTGTAGGCATGTACTACAATTTATCATTTTCCTGTTGATGAATATCTTCATGTGGATTTATGCTTTAATTTCTTTTGAACAAATACCTAGGTGAAAAATTCTGGGTCATAGAGTAGGTGCATGTTTAATTTTATATGAAACTGCCAGGCCTTTTTCCAAAGTGGTGGAATGCCCACTCAGGTTTTTGGGTGAGCAACAGCTACTCCTTATAGGGAAAGGAATCGAACGCGTAACCAGTCTCCTCCTGGCGGTGGATTAAGTCCTCGGACTCCGCCCTACTCCTCGTCGGGGCACCGCCGTCCTGTCAACTGGATCCTGATTGGCCGGTGGAGGAGAGAGGCGGAGCCAGAGGGAGTGCTGACATCTGGAGCCCGACTTCCTCCCTTTCCGCTTTGGGCGGGTCTCCGCATCCGGCCGGTGCTCTGCTCGCTGCTGCCGCTGCGAGAACAACGTAGAATGAGATGCAACGCTGCTGTATGATCTCCTCGCCTAACCCAAAGCCTGATTTGGAGACCAGCTCTCAGGAGGAACGGATTTTCTTCATTATGAAGTTTCCTCCTCCGGAACTCCTTCCACACGTCTTAACTGCTCTCTCTCACTGGGAAGTCTCTGTCCAATCCCTGGGTCATTAATCACAACAATGACATTAGCAGAAGGCTGTTTACAAAATGCATTTTTGGCGTTATCTCATGTCATACTCAGAAGAGCCCCTCTCCTCCACCTAAGATCCTTTCTCTCCAAGCTTTTGCCCTCCCGTTTATTGCAGCCCGAAGCTTACAAGGACAGTCTTGTAGAGGAGCCAACAGGAAAGAGTATTTGTTCCGCGATCTTCCAGCTTCCAGAGCACGACTTCACCTCGCACTGCTTCATCGCTGAGCGGCGGACAATCATTTTCTTGACGCTCTCGTACAGTTGACCACTTCCTCCTCGAAACTCTCTCTTCTCCTAACTTCCAACATCACTCTCCTCGTTTTTTCCTACTTTTTCCTACTTTACTAGCTTACTCCGTGTTGGTCTCCTTTGCTAACATCTCTTCCTCAATTAGACCTCTCAAGGATTCTTCTTTCTTTTCTTTCCCTTCTGTCCTTTCTCTCTCCCTTTTTCTTTTTCTCCTTATTTTTTTCTTTTCAATCCCATGGCTTAATTATCATCTACATGCTGATTCCCAATATTGTATCTCCAGACTACCCCTCTTCCCTCCAGTTATCTCCATCTGTCTTCCTCATATCTCCACATGGATGCCAAACTCACTTTCTCTGAAACAGAGCTTTTAATTTCCTTTCCCAATACCATGTATACCTGTTTTTATTCTGTCTTCATCATCTCAGTAAATGGCATCACCATTTTGGGCTCAAGTTAAAAACCCACACCACATCCTTGATGCCTTCTTCATCTACCACATCCAATCCACCACCCAAACCTGCTGTTTCTGCCTCCAAAATGTATTTTGAATCTATCCACTTCAGGGCTGGCTGATTAGCTCAGTTGGTTAGAGCATGGTGCTGATAATAACCACAGTCAGGGTTCAATCATTGTACCAGCCAGCCGCCAAGAAAAGAAAAAACAAAACAAAAACAAAGAATCTATCCACTTCCCTTCATACCCAGCCCACACCCTAGAGCTAGCAGCCTGTCATCCATCCCCAGGATTACAGCAGTGGTCTCCTCAACTTCACTGGATTTCTGCCTTCCCCTCTGTCCCCCTACAGTCTATTCTCCAAGGCTTCCACTCTACCCCACTACAATCCAGTCTCCTAACAGCAGCAGGCAGAATCTTTCAAAACATATAACTCAGATTTTGCCTCTCTCTAGTTAAAAGCCCTCAATGCCTCCCCAGGCTATTCCTCTGTGTATAAAATCCAGAGTTCTTGCCAATTCCCCCCTTCCTTCTTGCTTCTTGTGACTGCAAGTCTACTGCTCTCCCTTGCTCATTATGCTTTTTCTTTCTTTCTTTCTTTTTTTTTTTTTTTTTTGCGGCTGGGCTGGCCAGTGTGGGGATCCAAACTCTTGACATAGATATATAACACCACGCTCTAACCAATTGAGCCAACTGGCCAACCATTTTTTCCTTTTTTACTTTTAGGTTTCAGCTGAAATATCCACTCTTCAGAAAGAAGAGTTACTATTTTATTATCTTCTACTATTTTATTATCTGTTTATTTCCTTGATAGAACTTACCACATTCAGTTGTTATCATGTTTACATTTATTTGCTTGCCTATCATCCTTCTCTTCCAGCTTCGTGAGGGCAGGGATCATGCCTGTCATGTTTATGGCTTTGTCCCTTGTATTTAAAACAGCACCTGGGGCTGGTTATTTAGCTCAGTTGATTAGAGTGTAATGTTGTAACACCAAGGTCAAGGGTTCAGATCCCCTTACCAGCCAGCCACGAAATAAAGAAGTAAAACAGTGCCATCTACATGGTAGACTCTCAACAGATTTTTGGTTTGGGGGTTTTTTTTGGGCGGGGGGGAGGCTGGCCAGTATGGGGAACCCAACCCTTGACCTTGGTGTTACAAGGCCACTTTAACCAACTGAGCTAACCAGCCAGCCCTCAGAACAGATATTTTTAAATGGATGAATCAGTGAATAATGAAACCGCTCTCTCCAAGTTCTGATCCCTCCACCTCTTTTCTATGTCTTTAGTTTGTCCCCACCATCCTCATAACTACTGCCTTGGTTCAGGTTCTACCACCTCCAACCTGGATTTCTGGAACAGTCTTCTACCCAATGGACTTTCGTGTGTCTCTTGCCCTAGTCACTCCTTTCTGCACACAGCAGTCATGAAAATGAGCTTGTAAAATGAAAATGAGAGGGGCTGGCCTGTGGCTCACTCGGGAGAGTGTGGTGCTGATAACACCAAGGCCATGGGTTCGGATCCTATATAGGGATGGCTGGGTGGCTCACTGGCTGAGCGTGGTGTGGACAACACCAAGCCAAGCTTTGAGATCCCCTTACCGGTCATCTTTAAAAAAAAAAAAAAAAAAGATGACCGGTAAGGGGATCTTAACCCTTGACTTGGTGTTGTCAGCACCACGCTCACCCAGTGAGCTAACCGGCCATCCCTATATAGGACCCGAACCCGTGGCCTTGGTGTTATCAGCACCGCACTCTCCCGAGTGAGCCACAGGCTGGCCCTAGTTCTCACTCTTGTGAGATGTTCCCTCTTCCTGATCTCCCCCCACACCCCACTTCCATCCAGCTAGCCCTGCTAGAATACGGACTCTCATCACACACTGTGTTCTTTCATCGAAGCCCTTCTCAGGACTTGCCTACCCTCCTACTAGTTCATCATCTCTTTAAGGCAGGACCTGGAGAATCTGGTGGTCTGATCACACAATGCTGTCAAAACAGGTCATTTAGTAGGGAGCATAAACTCTTGAGTCTGGCAAGGTTTGAATCCAGCCAAGTGACCTTAACCAAGTAATTTAAATTCTCCAAGCCTCGAATTCTCGATCTGTAAAATGAGGATAAAATTGTATCTATTTCATGGATGGGTACCTACTTTTGTCAGGATTAAATGAGATACATGTGAAGAGTTTATTACAGAGAGCAGATAACAAAGGCTCCCTGAACTCTTTTGAGTAGACAATTCCATGATCATGTATTGGAAAGCACCCCCACCTAAGAGTCACTCAATAAGGGTTGGCTGATGAGCTCACTTCGTTAGAGTGTGATGCTGATAACATCGAGTTCAAGGGTTGGATTTCTGTACAGCTCAGCTGCCCCCCTCCCCAAAAAGCACTCAATAAACTTTGTTGATTGATTAAATGGTGCACATGCAAGACAGCATCACTTCTACTGCCAGAAACCTTCAAGGATTTCCCACTGCCCTGAGGTTATAATGTGGTCTTCTCAACACAACCTACAAGGCTCCCCCTACACACACACACACACACACACACACACACACACACAC